ACGTAAATTTGATGTAAATATTCAATGGCAATATGTTGGTAACCAAACAAAAAATCTATATATACCCTTTCTTCTCTCATTATTCCATCAACCCAAAAAAAAATATAAATACACAATTTTTTGAGTCTTTGAATGTTTGAGTAAAATTTTAATAGTTGAAATTTATATCAAAATTCAAAAACAAAAAGTCATTTATTTGTTTTTGAAATGTCTATATACGATCTACGAAAGTGGATGTATACGCCCAAAAATGTTGATGGGTCGTTGACTGAAGAATTCAAAAACGGATTAGAAATATTCATGTACCAGGTCGGCCTTATGCAAACTGTAATTGAAAGCGGCAAAATGTATTGTCCTTGTGTGAAATGCAAAAATAGGAAACATATTCTTATTGACACTATCTGGCAGCATTTATTGAATAGAGGGTTCATGCCCCGATACTTTATTTGGTATCAGCATGGAGAGGGATATGGTCAAAGTAGTGGTTAGATGGCTGCACGGAGTAGTAGTAATCATCAAGAACATGGGGATTTTGAAGCGTCAAATGATTATCAAAGTAGTCAAGTTCAGGGTGAAGATCAGGATATGATGCATGAAATGGTTACTGATGCATTTCATGAAACACATGCTGATACTGTTGAGGAGCCCAATGCAGATGCGAAACGCTTTTATGATATGTTAAACGCAGCAAAACAGCCTCTTTACGAGGGATGTAGGGAAGGTTTATCTAAATTATCATTAGCAGCTCGGATGATGACAATAAAAACTGATCACAATCTATCTGAAGTTTGCATGAACGATTGGGCAGATCTTATTAAAGAGTATTTGCCAGATGATAATTTGGCTGCTAAAACGTATTATGAAATTCAGAACCTGGTTTTTAGTCTTGGATTGCCTTCTGAGATGATTGATGTTTGTGTTGATAATTGTATGCTTTTTTGGAGAGATGATGAGAAGCTTGAAGAATGTCGTTTCTGCCAAAAGCCAAGATATAGACCGTAAATTGCTGGGCGTAAGAAGATTCCTTACCAACGAATGTGGTATCTTCCTATCACTGATAGGTTAAAAAGACTATATCAATCTGAACAGACAGCTGCGTCGATGAGATGGCATGCAGAACATTCACAAACAGATGGCAAAATGACTCACCCGTCTGACGGGAAATCTTGGAAACATTTTAACACCGTACATCCAGACTTTGCTATATCTAAGCGAAATGTTTATCTTGGTCTTTGTACTGACAGGTTTAGTCCATTTGGTATGTCTGGTAGGCAATATTCATTATGGCCTGTGATTCTTACGTCATATAACATTCCTCCAGATAAGTGCATGCAAAGGGAGTTTTTGTTTCTAAGTATCTTAGTCCCTGGTCCAAATCACCCGAAGCAGGCCCTTGATGTGTTTTTGCAGCCATTCATACATGAGTTAAACCAGTTGTGGCATGTCGGAGTACGAACATATGACTGTTCGAGTGATAAAAATTTTACGATGCGAGCAGTGCTTATGTGGACAATAAGCGATTTCCCGGCATACGGAATGCTATCAGGTTGGACAACGCATGGGAGGTTATCATGTCCTTATTGTCTTGATAGGACTGATGTATTTCAGCTTAAACATGGTCGGAAAACCTGTTGGTTTGATTGCCACCGTTGTTTTTTACCACCAAACCATCAATATAGAAGAAACAGGCGTTTGTTTATAAAGAAAAAATTGGTTCGTCTTCCTCCACCAGTGTACCTAACTGGGGTAGATCTTGAAGCGCAAATAGATCATTGGGGTGGACTTGAAACGGTCCCCCGAGGAGGAAATTGGCACACTCCAGCGAATATGCCTGAAGGATATGGGGTTCATCATAATTGGCACAAAAAAAAATATATTTTGGGATCTGCCATACTGGAAAGATCATTTGCTGAGACATAATCTTGATGTTATGCACATTGAGAAGAATGTTTTCGATAACATCATACATACTGTTTTGAACGTCCAAGGAAGAACCAAAGACAGCGTTAAATCACGGATGGACTTGCCTGATATATGTAACAGAATTGAGTTGCATATGGTGAGTAATGGGAAAGCACCAGTTCCTGTATTTTGGTTGGGTGCTGAACAAAAAGCAGCATTGTTTAATTGGGTATCATCAGCCGTGAAATTTCCTGATGGGTATGTATCTAATCTAGCTAAATATGTGGATAAAGGACAAAAGTTTTTAGGGATGAAAAGTCATGATTGTCATGTGTTTATGCAACGGTTACTTCCTTTTGCGTTTGCTGAACTCCTACCGGGACATGTCCATGAGGCACTAGGAGGCATTGGAGCTTTCTTTCGTGATCTAAGTACAAGGACATTATCAGCAGATGTAGTTGCCCAACTTTCGACAAATATTCCAATATTTTTGTGCAATTTAGAGAAAATATTCCCACCTGCTTTCTTCGATGTTATGGAACATTTACCTATACACCTCCCTCACGAAGCAGAGTTAGGAGGACCTGTTCTGTTTAGGTGGATGTATCCGTTTGAACGCTTTATGAAGCATTTAAAGGGTAAGACTAAAAACTTAGCAAAAGTTGAAGGGTCTATCGTGGCGGGAAGTTTGACAGAAGAAACTTCTCATTTCACGTCTTATTATTTTGCTCTGAAGGTTCGTACACGCAAACGGGCTCCAAGACGTTATGACGATGGGGGTGTAGGACAAACTTACGCAGTAGAAGGTGTGCCTGATATATTCTCACCAATTGGACATCTAAGTGGGAAACTAAAAGAAACTTGTTGGTCAAACGAACAGGACTACCACATCGCACATACATATATACTTCTGAACTGCGAGGAATTGGCACCTTACGAGAGGTACAGGATATTATATATATGCATGATTATATTTTGATTGAATATATTTCTTAACAATGTTTTTCAATTTCAGCACTTTTGTCAGTCAAGTCCGAGAATGCATTGACGGTGTTTCAGAAGATGAAATTAATAAGCGGAAAGACCAACATTATGCATTGTGGTTAAAAGCTCAGGTCGATCATGATGACAAGACATATGCAGTATGGTTTCATGAGTTGCTCCATGGTCCTATATCTAAGATAACTACTGCAGCTATGTATTTCACCCGTGGCTATGTTTTTCATACTTACAGTCATGGCACTCAACGGGCAACTACGAACTATGGAGTTTGTGTACGAGGTGAAGTGGACTTTTATGGGATCATAAAAGATATAATTGAAGTGGAATACCCCGGATTAGTAAGAATGAAAACTGTTCTATTCAAATGTGATTGGTTTGATCCAACGGTGGGTCGTGGAGTGCGTATAACAAATTCGGAGTGGTAGATGTAAACGCCTCTCGACGATACAATAAGTTCGAGCCTTTTATACTTGCATCTCAAGCAGAACAAGTCATATTTGTTCCATATCCTTGAGTTCGAAGTACGGGAATTTCATGGCTGGCGATTGTTAAAGTTGCTCTAAGGGGTATAATTGATGGTGTAGATCTCCCACCTATGCAACAAGATGATTGTGTAGACATTACGGAACCTGAGGTTGAAGAACATGTTCTTTTAATTGATCCACGTAATCGACAAGTTGAAGATCTCCATGGGGACGAAACTGAAGAAGCTGCTGACGAATTTCAAACAAGCGGTGATGAAGATGATGCGATTGATGAGGACAGCGAAGAAAATGTTGAAGATGAAACACATGACATAAATAATTAGTTTATCGTTTGCATGCCTTAAACGTAATTTGTAATATTAAATGTAACATTTGTTAAATTTGATAAATTTGTTAAACCTTAAATGTTTTAAAAAGGAAAGACAATTATTCAAAAGAAAATTTACAAGCGTTGACTTGGACATATGTTGACCTTTGCAACGAATTTACGACGATTTCCAAATAATCGTCGTAAATTCGTCGTAAAATGTAAACCCTAAATCCTATAGGGTTTCGCTTTCCCAACTTATAGAATGTTTTTTTGGTGCATTTTCCTGAGTAAGGTCATGTATTATATAAGGTTTTGTAGTATAAGATTAAAGAACTTGTAAATATGTGGTTTGTATTACGATGACTTTACGATGAAGGTGAGTGATTCGTCGTAATATACCATCGAAGTTACGACGAAATCTAACCCCTAAATCTTGTAATCATCATTTTCTTGTCTTTTTGATGGATTTCAATCAAGAGAATTATATGGCTTACCATCTCATAAGATAATACACTTTTCTAAACCAAAAAAAAAAATTCAAATTTTCACATATATATTTTTATCAAGTAATCTTAAGTACTTATATACATTTATGGAAAGATGTAAGGATTCATCTTAGATCTTACCAAATTCATCATTAAGTTGTATAAACATACAAGAAGTTTTACAGAACACATATATAATGTTTAGTAATGCATGTAGGTGCTTATGGATGTATAAATTTTTCAATTCATCAGTTTTTGAAAAAAATATCGTAAAATCGTCGTAATTTTATGTTGATTTTACGACGATATGTAGATACGCAGCCGTTATAATATTTATGTTTTATACGATTTCGTCGTAAAATCGTTGTAATATTACAATGATTTTACGACGAATTACCCTGATCGTCGTAATGTCATCGCAAAGCCAAAATAAAGCCACGTGTGTTTGTCTTATTCGATTTGTGGCTTGGTGGGCATTCTGCGTCGAATTTACGACGAATTCGTTGTAAAGTCGTCGTAATGTTACGACGACTTTACGATGAATATAAATTCTATATATATGGACGCACCCCTCCTCACTTCGTCGCTCATTCCCCTTCTATCTCTCTCTCCTGCCTTCCCTCCAATTTTTGCCTTCTCTCTTATTAAAGGTATGTTTTTTTAAAAAAAATATTTAATTATTATTAATTTAGAATTAGAATAGGTTTAGGTCAGGAATTATTTTATGATCGGAATTTCTTAGATTTAGGATCAGAATTAGATAATAGGTTCGGAAAATTAATTTAATTATTATTTTTTTTTTCCGTTTTGCAGACGATGACTCGTCGGAGGACGCACTACATCAACTTCATGGCAGACGGACACTCTCATTTCCGGACGTCTGCCTCGGGAAATATCGAGATCCCGTCATCCTCCGGAGCCTCCCAGGTTCCGAATACTGCGGCTGAGCAGTCTCCACCACCGCCTCCACCACCACCTCCACCACCGGCTCCTGAACCCCGCCCTCCTCAACCGTATGCCCAATTTACGATTGAGGACTTACTAGCCCTACCAGGATGGGGGGCTTTACGACGTCTGGTCCCCGGAAAAGCGGAACCAGGCTCTTATTGGTAAGTAAAAATTTATTTATATTATATTTTTTTTAAATAATTCATTAATATACTTAATTATTAATGTAATATGTTTTTTTTTGTTTCATAGGTTTGACTTGGATAATTGTGTCGGTCGGAGCGTTTCCGACACAATTAAGAGCCATTTCGTCGAGCCTCACTACAACTGGAGCAGGGTGTCGCAAGAGACGTTCGACACCTGGTACAAATGCTTTGCGGTAATGTTTTTTTACCTTCTTTCTAATTGTAATTCATTAATTATTATAAATTTAATCTTAATTTTATATTGTTTAATTTTTTGTTTTATTTTGCAGCAACGGTGGAACTGGGACATCGGGATCAACGAGACGGTCCGGGAAGCGTTCCGTCTGAAGGCGCAGAAACGCCTAGTCAACACCGTTTCCGATTGGAAGCGGAAGTGGGAGACCGACGGCGACGACGCAAAGCCGAGCCCGATGTCCACTTCCTGCTGGAACGGGTTGAAGGCATATTGGATGAACCCGCATGCCCAAGACGTAGCTGGTAAGTGTTCGGCCGTTCGAAACCGGGTCGGTCCTGACGGTCAGAAGTTAGTGACCCCGCACACTTCTGGCCAAATATCATTTGCGGGTAGACGTCTAATGATGGTAAGTAATATTAATTATTTAATTATTTCTATTTTTCAATTATTTATATTTATATAATATATTTTTATTAATGTTTATTTGAAACTTTTTTTGGTAGGCCGAGGAGAACGGAGGAGAGCTTCCTCCAATGACGAAGCTTTTCGAGACCACTCACCGGAAGAAGGACGGGACTTTTGTAGATGCTCGGTCAGAGGACATCTACAATGCCGCTATTCAGAGGATCGCCGAGCGGGAAACCCAGGCAACACCTAACGGTACTATCCAAGTACCTTTGACCGTCCTCGAGCAAGACCAGATCTTCGAGGAGGTATGATCGATTTCAATATTTTTTTAAATTTATTATATATAGTACTTAATTATCTGTATATATATGATCTAACGTTTTTATTTTTATTTGTAGGTTGCTCCGAAGAAGAAGGGCCGCACCTTAGGGATGGGCTCTATTAGAGACTGTCCCGCCGCCTCGTCTTCCGGATACCGCACGCAGGAGGATCCGAGTCAACTTGAGGACAAGCAAAGGACAAGTGTGGGGGAGTTGATATGTTCATAATTTGCATCATTTAGGTTGCATAAATCATTCCAAATCATGTTTTATTTCATGTATTGTAGGTCCTTAGGGTTTGTTTTAGAACTTAGGAGATGCATTAGGTCCCAATGAGTCTTTGCATGTTTTGAGTGTCTATCAGGTGATTATGGAGCTGAAAAGATGAATCCAGGAGGTGGAATGGTGAGCAGAGCTTGAAAAAGTGGAAAACTTGAGTCTATGGAGGTTATCGGCCATTCTCGCTGGCCAGGAAGGTTTTACCGGCCATTTTCATGTACCGCGGGAAGCTTTACCAGCCATTTTCACGTACCGCGAATTAAGTATATCGGCCAAAATCTCCGGGTGCGAACGAGTCTCAGAAATCACCTGTCCGGGGAGCCTTCCGGTCCGATTCAGATGGCGGGTCCTTCATAGAAGTTGGAGAGCATTGAAGCACGGTCTCATAGCAATTGGAATCGTAGAATTCGGACGCGTGAGCAGAGAGATAAGCTCGTCGGAAGAAACCCCTGTCTCGCAGGTATTCCGGACCGAGCAGATCAGTTCTGAAGGATGCGAAGGACGGTGCACTTCCAGGCCGATTCAGCTTCCGGGTCCTTCATGAGAATCAGAGACATTTGAGTCTTCTTTCCAGAACGTCCAAGAGCATTCAATTCGGATCTATGAGCAGGAAGATACGGCCTCCGGAATGGACGCATGTCTAGACGCCTCTCTCTGGTCGTATACATGCACTGCAAAGATGTGCCCTCCAGGAAGCCTTCCACCTCCCAAGCACTAAAACTTCCTTCACAAAAGTTGGAGATAAATGAGTCCTCTGTCTTCTGCAACCGAAATCATTCAATTCGGACAAGTATCACAGGAGTTACACTCTCCGGAATGCGAAGTGATCTAAGCTGCTCTGGATGCTGCGAGATGGTCTTGCGACTTGGTTAACCCGCAGGCCTGAAGATGAACGCCTGAATGCTGATGCTGCGAGTTGAAATGTGCGGGTAAACTATCACTGGAAGAGGTCTGGAGCTCCCGAGCAAGAGAAATGCTAAGTCCACAATCGTGCGACTTAGGCATGCGAGTCATCCGTGCCTGGATCTATGCCGCACGATCACTCGGAATTCACTCCGACTTGAGCCTGCGACCTAAGTGCAATAGAGACCAACCCGCACAGTTTCTACATCCCCCAGAAACCGGCTCAGCCCTGCGAGTTGGAGAGGAAGGAGACCATGCCGCAGAAACACTCGCAATTTACTCCTAGATAGGCGTGCGGCTCCGACAAGGCGATTCAAGCCTCACAAGACAAGTCTTCATCTACTGCGACTTAGGTGTGCGGCCTGGGACATACTGAACCGACCCGCAGCTTTTCCCACTTTATCCATTAAAGCCGGGTCAGGACCCGGTTTGTTCCGGGCTGACCCGGTTCGTTTTTAAGAAGGTATAAATACTTTTTAGGGTTTTTTGGGGGAGAACTAAGTTTTATTCCCTTTGTCTCTTGCCTCTTTGGTGAAAAGACTCCATTAAGAAGAGAAATATTTTTATTTGAGTGTTTAATCAAGAGAGTTTAAAGGGATCTGGGTGTTTAAAGCTGTTTTCTTTTGAATCTATCATCTCCATCTCCATTTCTCATCATTAATCATGCTAATCTACTCAACTTGCAAAGGTTTAAGAGAGATTAGTATGATTAGTGAGTAGTCACCTTAATGAGGTTCTAGATGTGTAGGTTAGGGTGCTAAAGTGTTAGATTAGGAGTGCTTAGGGCTAGATTCATTGATTCATCTCTCTAAACAGCTGTTCTCTATGCTAGATCCTTGATAATCACTTGAGATCTAGATTCTGGGAATTTCATGCACCAAAAGTGTTTGATGAAATTCCTGAAAGAGTTGTGTTAGAGGTTTAAGTAATTTTTCATCATGGGAATGATTTGTTAAATGCTTGAATGATCATTAAGAGCTGTTTGTTAATGCATATTGATTCATGTTTCACAAATGGGAATTTGGTTTGAAAATGGATTAGTATAGGGGTTAATACCTTCATGAGAGGATTAACCTAGATTAGAGTTCTTAATCATTTGAATCATGTCTCATCATTGTCATTAGCATTTCTAGTTTAACACCAAGGCACCCTAACCAACTATCATGTCTAGAATCTCATGCCTCCATCATATCATATTCACATCATTTGTCATTGTCATTTGTCTTTAAACCTGTTTATGTTTATAGTTGTCTCTAGATTAATCAAAACCTATTCTTGTTTGCTTGAATTAAGAACTTGAACATATAGCTTAGTGTCTAACACCACATTTGGATTGATAAACCTCTTTTGTGCTACATTGACAAGGGGATTGATAGCCCTGAAGACCCTTAAAAGTCC